CACACGCCCTTTGGCCGCGGCCAAAACTCCCCGACTCCCTGCCCCGATGTCTATTTATTTCTCTAAATGCAGGTTGCAATCAATGCCGTAATAGCAACAACAGCAATAACAACTTCCGTATTTCATGCGCTGTAATTTAGCTCAAGTAACAAAATGCAAAGCCAAACTAAATGTTGACGGTGACGCGACACGACGCTGAAGCTTTAGCGGAAAATTGCACAGAGAAAAAGTAGTATAAAAGTTAAATTGAAAAAATTTAAATCATTTCAAGTGCCTGCTATATTCTGCAATGAAAGCTCGTGAAAATGATTTAAACATTCTTTAAGCGCAGCACCAGGTTTTTCTAAAAAGAGAGTTTTTTGGTCATGGGTTGGTTAGATGGACTTTAAAATAATATTATATATATTATTATTGATGTTTGATTAGTACATTGTATAATCTGTAAATGCTTTTCTAATTCTTAGTTACTATACGAGACTCTTTAAAAAAATAAATCATATCATAGTGACCATTAAATTTTTTCTTTCTGTGATCTGTAAGCCGAATCAACTGCAAAGTGCCAGCTGAAATCCAATATTTGTAAAATGTGTGAGCTGGCTAGCCGAAAGGCGACTCTTAACACGTCTGCGTTCGATGGCCAGCCACTCGCTGCGATTTGATTCGATTTCGTGTTTACATACAAATTGACATAATTTGTTTATAAATGTTTAATGATCGGCTGGTGATCAGGCCCAGACGCAGATTGTTTACTATTTGCAATTGTACAAATACACAAATATAAAAAGCGAAAAAGAACATGCTAATGCAGATATCAAAATACTAAACACACAAGTGGAGCTGCCATAAATTAAAACACTTTATGCACCGGTCCCAAGACACACGCAATTGTTCGACATCGTTTCAGACAATTTATAAATAGGTAATATTAATTAATTGAACAAACGCCGACACAATAATTAGATTTATTTACAAGTTTAACTTGTTGGCAGCAGCCGACAAACAAAAATAAAAAATCAAAACAAAGCCCAATGAACATAAATAAAAGCCCATGGAATTCCCAAATCCAGAAAATCGTGCGATTAAAACTGGATATGCATATCCTTAACTTTTTTCAATACAGATTTTTATTACTGTAGAAATGTTGAAATTATCGTATTGATTGCATAACCCCCGAATTCATCAGCCATAAGAAGAAGAAAACAAATGCGCACCCGGGAACATTTAATAAAAAGGAATAATAAAGGGGAAAAAATTAATTAACATATTTTTATATTAAGTTGTCTTGACGAAAGCCATCCGAGCGTTTGCATATAATTAAGGGACTTATGCACACAACAGCATTGACATTCGTAGATAATAACAGAGTCTATTTAAAAGAACTTATTTTTGGCTATGGTACGTGAAGCCATAAATTGAAAAGAAACGTCATGTTTCTTAAAATTTTGATACTAAGACGTATTTTAAGATTTATCGATACAATTTGAAGAAAAATAGTAATTATACATAGATTTACATTTTGGAATAAGACGTATTTGAAGATTTATCGATACAATTTGAAGAAAAATAGTAATTATACGCGATTTACATTTTCTAACAAAGAAATCGTTTCTTTTGTTTCTTTAAGTTAAAGGAAAAACATAAAAAAAAAGAATTAAAAATAGGCATTTTAAAATGATTAAAAATATTCCCAGATATTAATTCTTTTGCCTAAGTCGTTTGGTCATTCGGCACACTTTCCAAAAGTTCTGGATTATAAATATATATTTATACACTGCACAAGCAACTTATAGGTGGTTCCAAAATAGAAATCCAAGCCCAGCCCAGTCGCATTTCAACTGACGCAAATGAAGGCACCATAAATTGTATATATATCACCGATATATCGAAATCAAACCCCGGGCAATACATATACATAAATGCATTATTAGCACTTTCATGAAATTGAAAATGGAAATGTCAAATGGGCGTTGGACCCAGAGTGCGTAGAAATTGTCGACCGACTGTTGGCCAAAGTCGAGTAGATCGGTCTCTCTGACATATTGGCATATAGCCGCCTGGCCATTACAATTATTATTACATATTAACATTTGTAGCATTCTTACATACTTAATACACTATTACGGTAATTTAATAGCATGTTCTCATGGTCAACCTGCTGCTCTGGTGGAGTGCCAAGTGGATTCCACCCGATTGTGGGATGGAGTGCCCAGCGGTATCGACACTATCGCCCCGCTGCATATTTTAAAGAGCCCGCCGACGATTACATTGTAGCCGATAGCCAAGAGTCAAGAACAACACCAGGTCATAATGAACAACACTTTACGGGCAATGCAGTCCATTTCCATTTTCCATTGATGGCTCAATGGGGTTCCGTTACTGGTCAAATCAAATCGCAGATACAAACATCAAATATCACGATTTTCAGCTGTCACCCTGAGTTGCCTTAGATGCGGATGCGGACATCTGAGCTTGGTTTTGGCCTGCCCGGTGCCAGTGGAAAGTGAAAAGGCATCGGTCTAATTATAACACGTGATATCATCGGACGCGCATGATTTATGCGCAACTGCACCAGATCCGGCAACAACAATCGGCCAGAACCTGATTGGATTGTCTTGGATTATGCACCGCCGCCCCGGGAGTTATAGAGAGAGCTCAAGTTCAATGTGGAAGCGGCTAATACGAGCCGCCAGACAAGGCGAACCCTTGAAAATGGAAGCGCCTCACTCGCTATCTAATACATGGTGAAAAAATCTATAATCTTACCTTACAACGATTTTAATAGTATTAACCTAAAATTAATTTAATAGATATCAGTATCTGCAAGGCTAACTAAATCTGAATAAACAGTTCGAAGTTAAAATAAAATCAAACAAACAAATTTGTTAGACAATACCTATTTATTCTTTTCATTCTTTTAACATATTTATTGTTATTATAAGTATTGTTATTCCTAGTTAAAAGAGCTACAAAATAATTATCTTAGTTTTTAAAAATAAAAGATAAAAGAAAATATATCTCTAAGTTAATATCTTACAAATTTCAATTACAAGTTCAAAACTAATGTTAATTGAAAATTTTAGCAAACAATTTTGATCTCTTTTTTTTAAGCGAAGTGTAAGATTATATTTGAAATCGTTCCTCATTTCCCACCGTGTAGGGGGCCTCCATCATCCATCCGATACGCCTCTGGACACCCAAAACCGCAAACCTCGACGTGCAAATGTCTATGCAAATGCGGCACCCCCAACACTTGGCTACCCCTCACCTTCCCATCGGCGGCTTTTGCACAAACAATTCCATTTCGCTTTTAATTTCTTCGCGCACAGTTTTTCGTGTGTGTTTGTCAACTAAATTGGGTCTAGTTTATGCGGTTTTTTATGAATCTGACCTTAGTCATGATCATGAAATGCTCCGAACTGAGCCACTGGGCTGTAATTAGGGCATGAATGGGGAACTCAGTGCCAGTTACCCACAGATAAAAGAGGCTGGAAATTGGATAACAAGAGCAGGAGATTAGGGTGATTGCATGTCTCATATATACATTATCCTAAATTCAAATAATAGCTGTAGTTTATTTATTAATAAAAGTTCATATGAAGGCAGGACTCCTCCTAAATTTATATATAAAAAATTTACAAATGGTATTAACTCGATGTGCTTTCTATACTTATAAATCTTGAAAGGTAAGTAAACTATAAGGGATAATGGGAATGTTAAAGTGATGACAGAGTGACTTCAAAGTTGATTTAAAGAGAATATTTTAGCCCGCAACGACTTGACAGAAGCTAACGAACCTAAATCTTGTTCAATTGACTGAGTAAAGTTCCCAAACTGACATGCTATGCCCAACACGTGATGATGGGCTTCGTTCTTTGCACCGATCGCCTATCGATGAACCCCCTAACGGCCGACTATTGACACATTTGCTGATTCGGCTTCAAACAAGCTCTAAATCAAGTTCAAAGTCAAACTAATTATCAACAATTTAGCTCATCAATAATAACAGCGAGCGAGCATACATAGAAAAATCCCTCCAGCAGCTAACGCCCAAAAAACATGAAACATGTTTGGTTTAAGTTTGGGTTTATATTTAGTTTTTTGTTTCTTATTGTTTTGTTTGTTTTTTGCTTCAGTTTGGGCAGCCAAAACAAAGCGCCTCGACTAGCCAAACTACTTACACTGACTACAAAGTCCCACACAACACACATAAATGCAAATAAATAATTAAAAGCAAATACAGCAGCAGCAAATCAACGCGTCCAGCAATATTTTGGCAGCAAACTTGTTTAATTTGCATAAAGTCTCACAAACGGAGATGCAATTAAAAAGGCGCGCGCGTAGATCCAGTCAGCTGATGATGGGTTCGGATTGGCTGGAGTTGGTCGGTTGGAAATAACATGGCCAAAAGGGGACAAAGGCTCCAGGGGGACTGGCAACTGGAACCGGCAGTCGGGTAAATTTAAATACATTTTTTATATGCACTTTGTTGACTTTTTTCGCCTCGCCGTTGTTTAATATTGCTCGGAATTCAGGAATCCAAATCGGAATCCGCTGTGTCGAAACTAGTTCGTCTCAGAATTAGTGCAGTAAATATACAAAAAATAAAACCAAAAAAACAATGTATACAAAATGCACGTATGTGTGTGGGTTTAAACTGTATGTACTGCTAAAATGAGCTTTATTTAGCGTGTTCTATTGAAAGGACAATAAACTCTCGGCAAAACGTCAAGGTCAACCACATCGTATTAGAAGTCTGCGATTGATTCTTAATCGGGTCGCTTTAGACATTTGTATTTCGGTTCTAAATTCAGCTCAACTCGATTGTTTTAAGTATGCAAATTGCCCAACAATTGACAACTGATCATCTCTTTTGGAGGGTCATAAATAATCACAGAAGTGCAAAAAAACAAGTACAAGTCACTTGGTATACATTCCGAAACCATTACATGACTACATTTTAAAGGGCAATTTTTAAGCAAACAAAAATAGAGAAACCCGTATTTTTTGTTGCATTCATTGCTTCATTTTTAATATTGTCTCAAATTACTTCTTCGAGGCTCACGGATTCTAGATGAAATGGGGGCTTTTTGATAGGCTTCTAGTGGTTCCCCAATCAGGATTGCTAACAACAAGGATATCCACAGTAGCAGCCGCCACAGGGTCCACAGGCGTAGCAGGGTCCGCAGACATTGGGTCCATAGCAGGGTCCACATCCTCCTCCGCAGGGTCCACAGCACGGTCCGCATGGACCACAGCAGGGTCCACAAGGTCCGCAACACATGATTAATCCGTAAAAAGTTCTAAAAAAAAAAAAAAAGAGAATAAATTTGATATAAAATTGTATATTATTTAACTAACTTTGAACCGAAGAAAAGCAAATAACTTGAGACTACACAAAAGATTTAGATGTGTTAAGGCCGAAAAGACGAACGAGAATGATACAAAAAGGAAATCATAGAGGTACAAAGGCTTGACAGGCGAAGCTAAGGTTGCTTTGTACAATTTTTTGTTTATCAAACACAAAATACCTGGCTGATGTATACTATTCATTAAATAATTTAATATGTTCTGCTAAATTAATATTTCATGAGGATCTGTCATAATCCTTCTAGCGGTTGTACAATTTTACTAAATCTGTTACCTAAAAAAAAGGGGTAATATGCTGTTCAAATCTCAGCTGGATGATGTTTTAAAACTAAATGGCGTTATGAAAGCGATTTTACAACGAGTGTCAACTATTTTGCCAGTGCATTGTAACATACAAAATAAGTACATGAGATTTAAATTTTTGTTTTGTGACTGGATCATGTGTTCATTGCACCCGGGTGAAGTTCGAAATCGCTGCCGGACCTCAAGTCGAGTTCTGCGCTGCAGTTTTGTTTACTCTTGATTTTGTCGTACTTTTTGATTAAGTGCATGGCGCATAGCCGACCAACTCCGGGTATCGGGGCTGAGCGGGTATATATGCAAGTGTATATAAAGTTCATTATCTGACTGAAGAGCCGTGTTGTTCCCCAGCCGAATCGAGCCCAGAATGTCGCATTGAAAGAGGTCAATCACCAGCGTCGCGATTGCGCCTTGGATGTCACTCGTGTAATTGAGCGCAATTTATTTTATTTGCTAACGATTTTACGATTTCGGTTAATTAACTCTCAAAAAGCGGGAAGCCACCTAGTTGACAACCTACCAGTCCACCTATGGAACCATATCCACATAGTGTACCCTGACCAAAGTATATGCTTATAGAATGATTTGTATTTGTGCATGACTGACTCAGCCCGAGCATTCGGCCAGAAAAGTATGGGTTGCAAATAAAAAGCGCATAATAGGCGTTTAAATGCAATTTTCTCCGCAAAATGGTCGGCCGAAATATCAAAAATTCGAATTATATGTTTTGCAGCATGTTGATTAGAATGAAATATGTGTGTGCGGCGGGTCGGCCAGCAGAAGCAAAAAACCAAGTCGACAAGCCGCACAGAAGTCCTCTCCCTTCTAGAAGAAATATTTGGGTAGCATCTCACATCCGATGAGACGGACAAGTCCAACTCAAAGTCGGTTCTTTTTCAGCACGGAGAAAAAACAAAGTAAGGTATTGCTTAAAATAATTAATCATTTTATTAGTGTCATCAAATCCCATTCATAGCTTCATAAAAATACCGTCAAAATGTATAATATTTTATGGAACTACCATTTCTCTTAAATGATTGCAGATTTCTAAAGGATATTATTTGTTGATAATTGTCGATATATATTAAAAAAACAAAAAACTTAACAATTTTATACAGAAAATATACAAATCCTAAGTGTAATAACTTTGCATTCTTTTTTCTCTGTGCGGATCTCTGCTTTTTATTTTTTTTTAGCTCGGGATGGATGAAACTCTGGTCAATAATTTTGCGAGGGTGCCGCCAAAAGGGCAGCAGACGCTGCTCTAACTTAGTTTTTTTTCATATTTGCCCTGGTCTTTGTTTGAAATAGATTATTGGCAATACATATGTATACAAATATTTTTATTTCGTCTGGCGACGAGAGTTCAAGGATTTTTATTGGGTTCAGTGAACCAAATGTCTTTCCTCCGGCCGGAAATATCGTATTCGCTTTAATTATGGCCCCTCGCACAACTTATTAATATAAGTTTGATGAAAAGTGAAACACAATGGGCACACACAGATGTCATCATCTGCTGGAAAGCGCTGAATAGTGCCAGTCAACCCAACGAAATCAATATCCGCCTGTCGTAAGTGTGCTCCCTAATGACTATGGGCGTGGCATTTAGGAGCTAAAGGTGGAGAAAGAGCAGAAAGGGTAAAAAGTGAGTTGAGGTAACCCGAGTAGCCGACGAAAGTGAAGAAAGCACGTGCCGCCCTCTAAAAATTGCAGCTGATTCCTTAATAAAAAAAGCGAAGCGCAAACCAATGCGATCTAGATCAAAAAGTGGCTGAAAGATATATCGTGCCCCTTTGCTTATAAGATAATACATTTATACAGAATAATGCGGAATTCTTTTAAATTTATTAGTAAAATCTAGATCTTTTTTAATAATAAAATATTCCTCATTCCTTTCAACGTTTTTCTTAAACTGGATGATCATTTGATCATTCATTTTTTTACTGGGCTTACTTAGTTCACAGATTACAAGTTCATTTAGAACACGAAAAGTTGTTTTAGTTAGATTTTATGTTAGTTTTAGTTAGTTTTTATATTTTGTTAAGTTTAAAATATATAACAACAGTTTTGAAAACAGTTCGTGAATTTGCGTCTTAATGACTTGAGGGCGTGTTCAGTGAAGAGCAAGAGGGTGAAAGGTGACCTGAATATCCAAGGAAAGTGAAGTAATCGGGAGTTCTAGGCACGTGCCGCCCCCAAAAAAGGATTCAGCTGCCTTTTAAAAGGAAAGTGAACGCAACATGACTTGATACCGATCCAGATCCAAATTTAGATCGAAATCAGAGCAGTGGAAGTCTGAAATTCTGATTGATCGTGCGACATGGGATGCGGATGAGATGAGGCTGCCAGAAATTCCTAAGAAAATGGCTCACACACAAAAAACCCAGCACGCAAAAAAAGGGTGGAATACAATATAATCATAACAAGGAGCAAGGGAACAGAGAGCTCGTATTATTTAATTTGGAACTGGGCCGTTCTTTTTTTGTTCCTGTTTTTCTGACCCGGTATCAATGAATCGAAATGAAATAAAATGAAATGCGAATGCGAATGTCTCGATCGCGTGCGGCAACATTTTCACAGATTTCAGATTTGGAGTTTCAAGCTTTTTGCTCTGGATTCTGATTCTGCGTTTTGATTTGTGCCTCCTTTTGATCGTGCCACGTTTTTTTGGCTGTTTGTGTGTAATATCGGGGGTTGTGTCTTCTGTTTAGGCTATAAATTGCATATTAATACATACTTCTGTTTAACCCTTGAAAGTTGTAGGGGATAATCTTGCTATAGTCATGTTACTTCTTTATATTTTTAAAATTATAAAATTTATATATAATTTTTTTTTAATTTATCTTAATTTAATTAAATCTAAAAACTTGTTTCCAATAAACAATTCGACAGGATAAATGTGCATTGTATTGATTTTTTTGTCAGCATTATCAATAAATAAAATTTTAGCTCAAATAAAGTTTTTTTAATGAGTAGCTATACTTCTAAGAATAGTTCCCAATAACCTTATTATTTAATTGAATTTTTGTTACTCTATTATGAAACTGTAATCTTAAAAAATATTTAAGAATTATTTTTTGACATGATAGTTTCGCATTGTAACTTAACTCATTAATTGGCTTAATTTCAATGATTCTTTTTAAAAAGAAATCACATTCTTTAGAAAGCATCGTTAGTGCCACTTTTAGGGTTAAACCTCCATTTTGTTTTCCATATATTTCATGTTTTTTCCCCAGCCAGTTGATGACTAATACGCATGCAAGTTCCGCGAAAAACGCAACCCCCGCGCCTCTCTGCATTCCACAAATAGTTACCTGCCAAATTGCAACTCAATTATAAATTGCAAAGAGGAAAATAAAAAGAAAAGGCAAAGAAACCGAAAAGCGAAACCGAGACCAAAGAAACTCAGAAAAAAGCCCGAAAGAGTCGCAGTGTAAAATTGTAGCTTAGGCAGCGGCAAAAACTGCTAATTTAACTGCTAGTTTCGCATGCTAACACACACACACTCAGACCGAAAAGCTGGAAAACATCAATGGAAATGCCATGAAAATGCAGGTTGAGCTCTGGAAAACCCATGAAATGTGCGAGTACGAGGAAAATCTTCCGCGTTTGTGTAATGCAGGAAGATTTTGCATGATGTTTGCTTTTGTATTTGCTTTAAATTTTTCCCGGACTGCGGGCACATATATATATATAATGATGTACGTGTTTGTTTGTTTGGTTTACAAGTCTCACTTATGTACATTTCTAAAAAGAGGTTTCTAAAATTTAATATTTATATTTATTTATATTTTCTTATTTTAAAAAAATTTGAAAGTATTTATTTGACATTAATATCACAATTTCTACATTTTTGTAGATTCTAGACTTAAACGGAACAAGTTGGCAAACCCAAAAGTTAAGTTTTCGTAAGTTTTCTTTTTTTAATGAATTTCTAAAAGTAGTTGCCAATCAACCAACAAAGAGTAAAAATTAAATGGTTAAAACTTTAGAGCTTATCAACACCAAAACATTATATGTGTTTTGTATTGTTGATGAAAAATAAAGTTATTGCTGTGATTTTAATTTAATTTATAATTGCAAATCAACCGTGAGATTTGCTTGTGGCTCCCGATTGTGAATCACCTGAAGGAATTTTAAAGAATCGACTGGAAAATACCGCCAAATCGATCTTAATTTCTCTTGGAGCGAGATCGAAGATCGGAGAGCGAAAGCAAGCGAGGTCCGCTTGAAAGAAAGCAGGTGAGAGCGGCGACCGCTCGTAAAGAGCTGAATACATGACACCCCAGATGCGCCCGCTCCTTGGGCGTGGCGGTGGGGTGGCGGAGGGGAAGGTGCAGGGGGCGGGGTGGGCGAAAGAGGGAGTGGACAGCGTGCGAAAGTGAAATCGAACCTTCTCTGCCGGCGTTTGCGCTTTTAAGCAGCAACAAAAACATCGAAGCCGGGCCGGTTTCAAAGTTTACGAGGGGCGCGACTGCGGTGCACAGTGAATCAAATGCTATACAATTGGCTTTAAAATTATAATTAAAATATAAGTTGCAAACACTTAAAAATATATATCGCCTATGCATAGTTTTACATACATATAGTAATTTTTACATTGTAAAAACATATATATTTTTGTAATAAACAAACTAATGTGTTACCATTTTGGAAAAAAAATTGATCAATTCATTAAACTTTGAGTTATCTATGTAGATATTTTTAATAAGAACTCATTTTGCTTAACAACATTTATTCCCTTTAACTAAGAGTTAAATTAAAAAATCTGAATAATTACAGTACAGTAAATAAATTCAGTGTCTAATTTTTTAACAGAT